CAAACATTTCTACCACCTCCCCAAAATACCATTAAATTATGAATCCAACAGTGAGTTAGTCTACAGATTAGGTCAAAACTCATGATCCAATGACCTCTCAATGATTGGATGCACTAGCTAGAGATCAAGCCTTTATTATTTATATATTTATTATATAATTATTTATTTATATATTTATTATATTTTTATATTTGTCTCTTACTGGGATACTTCCTAGCCAACCCATAATAGGTACTGCTTTACAAAGTCAACTTAGTCTTCAGAGAGAGGTGCTATTGATATCCATTTTACTGATAAAGCAGCTAAAGTACTGAAAAGTCAACCTTTTTGTTTTTGTGGTTTTACTGCAAGTCCTTTCAAACAAAATATTAGTTTTTACTGAGATGCTTCCAAAATATATTACCTAATGTCCACCTTTCTTTTATAAAACCTGTTGAACAAATACAAAGTGTGTTTGGAATGATACAACTAATGAAAGTAAGCCGGCGAAAATGGAAAGTCTCTGCTCTTTCAGGAAATCTTAAAAAACAAAAAAGAGTTTCTCTAAATCAGGAAGCGATCCTTGCAGGGAGGGAAAAGGATTTCACTACTCTGGTTTTAATCTTTTGTTTTTTAAGGCGAGCCAATCAAAGAACTAAATATTGAGAGCTGAGTAGTTTTTGCGGATAAGAGTTTTTTTTTTTCTTTCAGTCCAACTGTTTCTGTAGCAGTAGATATCTGAGTTCACAGTGGAAAGGAGTTCAGTCAAGTCCATAAGAAGCCAGCAATCTGTTCTTGGTATGTTGAAGTCTGACCTAAGACACAACCCTGCTGATTCCCCATCCCTTGCTATCTTCCCCTGTTTGGCGCTGCCTTACTCCTGGATTCTGCTCCAAAAGCTTTTCTCCTGTTCTTGAGCTGGTGCATCTGTTCTTAAAAAATGAACCAACCAACAAACAAAAAAGCTCTGGTTCATCTAGGTCTTACTCTAATTACTCATTTGCTGCTAGGGTACACTTCTTATATTCCTAAGACTGTAAACTTATCTGTTTGCTTGATGCTAAAGGCCCTGTGCTTAGTATTGTTTCTGATACCCAACCAATACCCAATAACTATTAAGTGAATAAATAGGTGAATGAATGACCCTTAGGTCCCATTCCAATTCACTTGCTTTATGCACAAGTGCCCTTAGAACTGTGGATCAACTTAATAAATACTAATTTCTGAAGTAAGATGTTTCTGAAGGTTTAGAGTATTTTTAACACAGTCCTACAGGCTAATGTTTTTCAGTTCTTTGTTTATAGTTGACATATCTGGCCCCTTTCCTCTTTCGTCTACAATTTTTTTTAAAGTCTTTCCTATTCTTTACTGACCATCTCAGTGGTTGAGTCCCCATCAAATCTTCTCTGATGGTCCCTGATAAAAGTGATCAGCCAAACTATGAACTCTACACTGTGGCTGTTACTGAGTTCTTTTTCTTTTTATGTAATACAATTTCCCTGCATCCAAATGTTAGACAAACATTACTGATTCTATAGACACAGAAGATATTTGGAGAAGTTAATGGGCATTTTCAGGAAACCAAGAAAAGAAAATGATGACTCACACACTAGAAGTCAGTCCTCTTCCTTCCTCCCTCTCTAGGTCTCTTTACACTGCCAGAGCAAATTGCTCGTATGTATTATTACTTTTGTTGTTGTCTGGGGTTTCAACTCAAGGTATTGTGCTTGCTAGGCAGACAGTCTACTGCTGAGCCAGTCTCTAGCCCTTTATTTGCTGTTTATTTTTGAGATGAAGTCTCACTTCCTGCCCAGGTGTGCCTGGCCAGTGATCTTCATATTTTAGATTTCTCTTTATAGTTAGAGTGACAGGTGAGCACCATTGTATCCAACTTCTCCACTCAGACAATCTTGTAGTACTCTTTGCCTGGAGCTGGCCTAGAATCTTGGCCTTCTGGGAGATTGGAAAGACAGGTATGTACCACAGTTTTCAGTTACTGGATGAGGAGTCTCTTAAATTTTTCTGCCTGGGTTGGCTTTGAACTGTGCCCCTCCCATTCTCAGCTTCCCAAGTAGAAAAGATACTGGTTTGAGCCTGTATCTGATCATACTTTTATTATCTTCCCTACTGTAAATTCCTCCAAGCTCTAATTTCTTCTTTTGTTTTCTTCTAATTTTATTTATTGTTTTAGAGGTGACATACAGCAGGGTCAAGTAATAAGTACATTTTCTTTCACATAATATCTGTTTCCTCATTCTCTCCCATTTCCCACCCCCCTCAACTGTAACTTCTTAAGCATACTAATTAACTACATAAATAAATACAATCTTAAAACTTTAAATTCTGGAACAGACAAAAATAAAGGGATTTTTTTCAATCAGCTGATTTTGCAATAAATATTCAGGGCAAAAGAGCTACTATGTTGGTACAGGAACTGGAAAATACTAGCTTCAATTGTTGGTTAACTTTTGCTCCAAAAGTTTGACCTAAAAATTAATGAGCTGGGGATACAGCAATGGACCCCGGCAAGCGCAGCCCACATACGCGAGGCGGACCCACAACCACCTGGCATTTGGGCAGACTTTCTAACTGCTGCTCATGGCATGCTCTTTCCCAAAGAAGAAATTGCAGGGTCTTGTCCTTGCCACCATCACACCGATGATGAGAATGGAGAACTCAACTTTTCTGTCATTGGCCAATATGTGTACTACCTTCTGAAAGAGCATGGAGTAAAGAATGTTTTTGTGAATGGCACAATAGGCGAAGGCCTGTCCTGAGCATGTCTGAAGCATCATTTGGTTGCAGAGTAGTAGGTGACGCAAAGGAGGAACAAATTGGACCAGGTGGTAATTCATGTGGGGGCACTGAGCTTGAAGGAGTCACAAGAACAGGCCCCACATGCTGCAGAAATAGGAGCTGATGGCATGGCTGTCATTACACCATTCTTTCTCAAGCCACATAGCAAAGATGTCCTGGTTAATTTCCTAATGTAGGTGGCTGCCAGTGCCCCTGAATTACCATTTTATTACTATCATGTTCCTACTTTGACAGGGGTAAAGATTGGTGCTGAGGAGTTGTTGGATGAGATTCACAATAGGTTCCCCACCTTCCAAAGGCTGAAATTCAGTGACAGGGATCTCTTGGACTTTGGGCAGTGTGTTGATCAGAATCGGCAGCAATAGTTTGCTGTGCTCTTTGGGGTGGATGAGCAACTGTTGAGTGTCTGATGTTGGGAGTAGCAGGAGACATGGGTAGTACCTATAGCTACCTGGGAAAAAAAGATAAACCAGATGTCGGAGGCTTTTGAAAGGAAGGACTTCCCTTCAGCACTGAACAATCAGTTTTGCATCCAGAGACTTATCAACTTTGGAATCAAACTAGGTTTTGGAGTATCACAGACCAAAGCCATCATCTAGTCTCTGCAGCTTCCACTGCTGAAAGCCACCAGGAAGTTCACTGATCATGATAAAGCTAAACTGAAGATCCTGGATTTTCTTTCTTTCACTGGTTTAAAGGATGGAAACTTGTAAACTTGTAGCTAGTATCTCTCTATCCATCAACAATGAGACCTAATTACTATGAAAAGCATATTCTTCTCTCAGGGTCTTTTTAGATGAACTAAACCTCTTATCCAATGAAATCTCACATTGGTCAATAAGTATTTAAGTCTCTGTTTTGAGCCTAACATATTTTTTATTGTGAATGGTTGGGGGGGGGGGCTCTAAAAGGAGTCATGAGCCTTAAGTCATTCATTTCACAAAATTTTGGAGAAAATTTTCTGTGTGTATAGCTAAAAGGGAATCCAGGAGAAAACTGTAATTAATTTAGTTTCATCTGCCTTCAGGAGCTTCCATTACCTAGATGATTAATTCTTAATCTTAAAGTTCTCTAAGTTTAAACAACTTTCACTTGGCATCTAGGAAAACTCTGAGCTGTTGCAGTGAGGCAAGCAGTTTAATACTAAATTCAAAACGAACCAACTCTACATACCATCTCACTTGGCACCTGAGCTGGCTCTACAACTCTACTTTCAGAATAATTTTGTACTGTTTACCCTCCAGTGAGGCCAGGTGAGGACTTGCTTCAATTCCTCCAAGTAAAGAGACTTGTAGGATGGTGCTATAGTTTGGAGGTAATTGGTCGCTCCAAGGAAAGCTTAGTTCTTAGTGTGATGATGTGGAAGATGATAGAACCTTTAAGAGATGAGACCTGTTAAGAGGTGCTTAAGTCATGAGGACAGCCCTCCAGATGTCATGCAGCTCTCCTTCAGTGAGTTTTCCAAGACTAAGTTGTTAAAACAGCTTGAGCTTGACTCCTAAATTGTTTATTGACTTTCTGACTGGGATATGATCTTTCCACCTCATGTATGTTCTTGCCACCTGACACCATTCGCTATGAAGTTTCACCAGCAGAAATTGGTGCCGTGCCACTGAAGCCCTAGAACTAGGAGCTAAATAAACTTTTTTTTATAATGTTAAAAAATTAATGAGTCGAATTAGCAAAAGACAAAAAAAGCCAATTGTGGACAATGAGATATTTATTTACTTAAAGTTTCTTCTCTGTAATTTCACTTTAAAAAAAGCCATTCTGTGTGGGTAGCATAAGCAAACTGCTTCTTCCTAGGCGGGAGAATTAAATAGAAATGTGTGTTTAGTTGTAGGTGGGGAGGAAAAAAAAAAAAAACCCACCAAGAATTGGTCAGGAAGCCTCAGGCACGTTGCATCCTTAGCAGCCTAGTCTCTCGGGTCAGGGCATAAGCCCAGACCCTAGGGCACCTGTGGCTGAGGCCGCACCCACAATAACCACCTAAGGTTCAACCTTTGGCTTGTGAATCAGAAACAAAACAAAAAAGCTGCTAAGTCCCAGCACCCTAGACGCAAGAGTCTGTGGTCGGATGTCCTGCGATCGGAGGGGGCACGGTGAGCCAAAGTGGGGTGAGCACAAAATCCTCCACCGAGAGACTAGCCCCTGCACCGGCGCAACCGTGACATCACTTTCGCGCCCTCACCGGTTTGTTCCTGCGGCCGCTCCGTAGCCCGCGCCTCAGCGCGCGTCTCCCGGGCGGCGTCGCCATGGCTGCCCGTGGGGGCGTCGCGTCCTCGGGTGAGGGGCTGCGCTACGCCGAGTACTCGCCTCCCGCCGCCAAAAGGCCCGACGCCGAGATCGACCACGACCTGGTGAGTGCGGCCGGCCGTGCCCTCCCTTCCCGGCGGCCGGCTGTCGGGGGCCCTCGCGGTGCGGGCGCCGCGGAGCGTCCCGTCCGGGCCCCCTCGGGTCCCCCCTCGTGCCTTCCGTCACCTGCCGTCCTCCGGGCCCGCCGGGGTTCCCGGGAGGCCGCTGCCGGCACGGCGGGGACGACAGCTCCCTCCCGTACCTCTGCCTCCTCAGGGAGCTTCCAGTCTGGCCCGTCAGTGTCCCGGAGGAGGCGAGGGCGGCCGGGGCGGGGCGGGCCGGGGCGGGCGGTCCTGTCCTCGGGGGAGGGGAGGAGGGGAGGGGGGAGGGGAGAGGGGGAGGGGAGGGAGGAGGGGGGGAGGGGGGAGGGGGAGGGGGAGGAGACTGGAGAGGAGGGCTGGGTTCGTTTCTTTCCACAATCCCATGAAGGCCTTTTATAATCCTCACAGGACACGAGAAAAGGGAGCTTCAGAAAGTTTTAAGTAAGGTACCTAGGTTTATTCCCTTCATCAACGGCAGGCCTAAACTCTTGCCACCATGACTTGCTGACTTCTGAGAAATAAGGAGTTGTGGCTGAGAAGTTCAGTCTGCTATAGCTAGGTAAGGTTAGGTAGGGGGAATCGCTTTATAAAGTGATGTAAAAATCTCGGTATTAAGATGACTTGCAAGGTAGTTGGGAGCCCTGGTAGTTTGAAGATAAAACTAACAGTGGTTTTACATTTGTCCGTATTTTACTTACAAGAGGAGAGGGTGTAGGGTTGAAGATAGCAGCACACCTCTGGAGTGGTGCAGCCACATGCAGGCTAATTAATGTTCTAGTGACTCAACAGGCCTCTCATCACAAATATTGTAAAATCTCCCGTGATACCCTGAAAATCTGAAATAAGGTTAAATGTAAACATTTAAAGATCAGTATAATGCTCTAATCAAAAGATAAGGTGAAATTAGTATGTGATCAGAAAATAGTATGATGACTTAAATTTGTAAATAGACAAAACTACATTAGAGGACATACTGAAGTTATCATGTTACAGGCGTATTGCAACAGTACAAAGAATCACTGTTCATTCAGCTATAAATAAAAACTGATATATAGTTATATACATATATTTATGTGCATATACTGGGGCTTGAACTCACGGATTTGTGCTCTTGCTTGGCTTTCTCGCTCATGGCTGGCATGCTCCATGAGCCATACTTCCAATTCTGGCTCTTTGGTGGTTCATTGGAGATAAATGTCTCAAGAATTTGTCTGCCTAGGCTGATTTCACACCTGGATCCTGAGCTCTCAGCTCCTGAATAGCTAGGGTTATAGTGTGAAACACTTTTATTAGAATTCATTTGTTATTATTATTGTTGTTATTATTAAGTCAGAGTCTCACTGTATATCCCAGGCTGGCATCGAACTTGTTTTGTGGACTTAGTCTGGCTTCAAACTCATGATTTTCCTGTCTCATCTCTCTAGTGACAGGATTACAATTATGCATCACCACACTCAAATTTGACATTTCAAATACTTAACATGGTTGTAATCAACAAATTGGTATTTCCCAAGTGATAATGCAAGGTAAAATCTTGGACAAAAATGAATTTTTCCTCTCAATTTACATGATAGTTGCATTTATGGAAATTTTCATCTACACTAAAGTAGTATGTATGTATGCCTGTATGTATGTTTTCAAGACTAAGACCATCATAAACAGGCTGCTCACCCACTTAATGACTTTATTCAGACAGACACAGTTCTTTATTGTGTTGGGTTGTTTTATACACGTAAAACTTATAAGATCAGTGGCCCCCATCTGGGGACTACTACTTCTTATCTAAATTGTTATGCAACTGAGGTAACCCTCATAGGGTCTCAGAATACCCCTAGGAACCCTTCTGCATCTATTGAGACTCATTCTTCCAACCAGCGACCAGTGAGTTAGAAGACAACATAGTTCATAAGAACTTTAGGGAACGTGAAAGTACTGAAAGCATGAAGAGGTTGACAAGTGGGTGTTAGGGGAAAAAAATGACCTTGAAAATTGTAAAAATGTATATAGTTGTTAAAAATACAATGAAATATAATATTAATGGGATTTAACACATAAAATAATCTAGTGGCTGTATTTGTCAAAAGCTTTCATCTTGATTAAGTTTGCCTTTAGAGAGTAAGAATTAATATTTAAGCTGGGTGCCACAGTGGCTTATACCTATAATCCTAGCTACTTAGGAAGTTGAGATGGAGGACTGACCAAGGTTTAAAGCCAGCCCAGGAAGCAAAGTCCTTGAGATTCCATCTAAAAAACAACCAGCAAAAAATTAGAGCTAGAGGTGTGGCTCAAGTGTTAGAATATCAGCCAAACAAGCAAGCTGATTAAGTGTGTGTGGTCTTGAGTTCAATGACTAGTACCAGTAGTGGCAGAAGAAAAAATACCTGTTTAGAAAACTACAAGGATTTTTAAACGTAGACAAATACCTATATAGTTGGTTGGATACAATTAATTGTTGAATCATCAGAGGTCTTAGTCAAACTTGGTTCTAGCAGATCTGGTCTTACAGAAAAGTAGAAAATTTTTCATTTAAATGGTAATATTATAAACTTGTAAAGCAGTGTATATAAAGTATTAGCCATTTAGTTTCCAGTATTTTCTTAATGTAACTTCTGGTATTATAACATGTAAGAAAATTGGCCACATACATCTTTCATTATAAGCAAACCTAATACACAGCGGTTTAAGCCTATCAAACCTATTATAAATTTATTCATTATCAAAAGTAGTAGAGCATTTCTATTTTTCCATCAACTGTCCTAAAACATATTTTAACAGTTTTGTTGCTTCTTTTGACAGTCATGTGGATTGCTTATAGTATGTCCGCATTTTAATGGTAATTCTTTCCATTCATTGTATTACACTAGGAGGCTAGAATGTAAGCTCTAGGGGCAGCAGGGACTTTATTTGCACTCTGGTATGTATTTCTATATTCATATTGGCTCTGATATGGGGTAAGCCTTTAAAAATAATTCTCTTGCTTTTGGTAGTGTGAACATCCCATTGTCACCAGTTAATTTTCTGCAGTACAGACAATAAAAAATAGTATTCTTGTGAAGTTCAAATGGCACCATGAATGGTACCTGTTTATAAAGTTACCAATGTCCAATTTTTTTTCAGGGTTGAATATAGAAGTCTTCACGGACTGACCTTTGAATGGCTTACAGCCCCATTTCCCATCCCCTAGCCACTAAGTACCCTATGCTGTACTTACTTGAAATTCCTCCACTTTTCTGAAATCTCACACTTTTGTGGCTTTGTGATAGCTCTCTATTTTGACTGACATTCTTTGTGAAGCAAACTCCTAGTCCTTTTTGAATATTCAGTTTACATTATTCAAAGCCTTCTCTGCTCTAGTTCTTCTTTAGTAGAAGAAAGTTGTTTTCATCTTGTGTATTTCCTTGAAAAGTTATGCATACTTACAATGTATCAAGATTACTAATACCCATATTTGTGTAAGTACCTAGAATTTGAAGGCCCCAGGAAAAAGCTTTTATTTACTTCTGTAATTAGTATAACTGGGCATAGTGTTCATGTAATTATTTATACAACTTTTGTTACTGTGAAGTTTAGTTATAAATAAATGTGGATGTTTGAATATGATATCTTTGATTCTAATATCATATTGACACATAAATTTTCCCATGTATTCCTCTTACATGTTAAACCTCTAAGGGAGAATAAAAATAAGCATCTGTTCCTGTCTTGCAATTCTTTTCTTTTCTTTTTTCTTTTTCTTTTTTTTTTTTTTGTCTGTCGTGGGGCTTGAACTCTGGGCCTGGGTGCTGTCCCTGAGCTCTTCAGCTCAAGGCTATCTCTTGAGCCACAGCACCACTTCTGATTTTCTAGTGGTTTATTTTAGAGATAAGAGTCTTACTGACTTTCCTACCTGGGCTGTCTTTGAAGTGTGATCCTCAGATCTCAGCCTCCTGAGTAGCTAGGATTAACAGGTGTGAGCCACCAGCACCTAGCCTTCACAACTCTTTTCTTAGAACTTAGCACAAGATCTGTGCCAAATAAATGTTTGCAGGTTTATGTGACAGATGACAAATATTTGTTGAATGAGTGAATAATTTCCATTTTTCCTCTCACCATTGCAACTAGCACCTTTGTTTTGAGGAGGAAACGTATTTTTTCCTTTCTCAATTTCCCTCTGTTACAACTGGAATTCAAATGGGACAGTCTCAGGATAGTTTTTTTTTCTTTCACATTTTATAATACTTTCAGGCAATTTATATCTACAAAGTCATTCATTGCTTGTATTGTTTTGGGAAAATAAAATGCCATAGGGAATTTTTTTTAACAATTTTGATGCCTTTAAATTTGTTTCTTTTCATCAGTAGCAGCAATGAGTGGGCCATGGTCCGAGTTTTCAGAAACTTTGATTCATGGTAGTGGGACATTTAAAATAAGTTTTTGCTTTTTATATGTGTATTCTTATGTTTTATATTCTTTTCTGGATTACTTTTTCTTAGGATAGATTTTTTGAATCATAGTTTCTGAACTTTAGGACATGAATGTATTTATGTTTGTTGATTCCTATGATTAAAGTGCTCTCAAGATACATTGTCCAGTTTTGGATTTCAAGGTGATGGTTCTCAGAATACTGTCTTAACAGTTTCTAAGGCTTTGAACTGTTGGTTAAAATGTATTACTCTCATTATTAACAAGTTCTGTACTAGAGATATATGGCATATTTGTCACATGATGCCATCCAAAAGAAAAGTTAAAAAGGACTAGAAATTCTACTTCTTTACCTATTGGAGTATTTGAACTTTATATTAAAAATACTAATATTGAAAAACAATTTGGGTAAGGGAGAGAGAAGAAGGTGAAATTTTGTGCCAGAGAGGGAAGATTCTGAATAGTAAGGGACAATGGTTTGTAGATAATTAGTTTGTAGATAATTAATTCTCTAATTCTCTAGGGAGTTTAAGAAATGACCTACTAATGTTAAATTGTACTAG